GACCCTAAACCCTAAATCCTAAACCCAATACAGCTCATAATTTGTCCTTATCATTATAACCCTAAACCCCAAACCCTAAGCCCTAAACCCTAAACCTTAAACCCTACCCTAAACCCTAAACCCTATGGGGGTTTCTATGATTTTCGTCCCACCTGCAATGGCCGCATCTGTGACCATGCCGATGGCACCGAGGCCTGGGATCATCTTCAGGCTGTTGGCCGCCAAGCAGCCTCTTGGAAGGTATGGCAAGGGGTTAAAGGTTTAGGGTTTGGGGTTTAGGTTTGGGGTTTAGGGTTTAGGGTTTGGGGTTTAGGGTTTAGGGTTTAGGATTTCGGGTTCGAGGTTTAGGTCTTCAGCGGGAAGTGGGGAAGCAATATAGGACCATTACGGGGGTATATAGGGGGATTCTATAAGGATTATTATAGCGATCTGCTCCCCCACCCTCTTTTGCTGGTATAGCAAAGGCTATATAGAGGTCACATAGGGTTATGGGGGTTCTAGGGAGAATGTATAGGGGTTCTATAGGTGGTATGAAGGCTTTATAGGCTATATATAAGCGTCACGTACGGATTATGTAGGTGCTTTCTTGGGGCGTTACATAGGGTTATGTAGGGGTAGGGATGAGTGGACAGAAAAATGAAAGCTACTATGCCATTGAGGGAATACAGTTGAAGGTGGTTAAGGTAGCGGCCTGAACACTCAACGTAGGGCTTTTCTATTTTCATTATACACTCATACAAGCTATACGTGGTGTTTAGTGCGGCATGGAAAATGGCAAGTACACTTTTTACGATCCCGAGACTGCACCAAGGCCCCAAGGCTTCGAGGCCCCGTCTGCGGTGGACCCCTTATTGAATGTTTAATTCAAGAAATGTGGGAATTTAGGGCGCCAGGCCGAAACCCGAAAGGGAATAAAGTTGGGCGGATGCCTGCATGAGCAGGGGGTGGAAACAATAAACAAACACACCAATTCTTGGTTTGTTGAGCACGAGAGATGCGCCGTCGCAAGATAGGCCCCCCTAAATTCCAAACCCTTAAACCCCTGAACCCTAAATCCTAAACCCTAAATCCAAATCCCTAAATACTAAACCCTAAGTCCCCAATCCTAAGCCCTAAATCCTAAACCCTTAATCCCTAAACCCTAAGTCTTAAACCCTTTAACCCCTAAACCATGAAGCAAAGCAACCCAGCCAGCCCAGAGGCGTGGAGGCCAAGACCGAGCCGCAGAAGTGAAGAGCAACTTTCCGCGAAAAGACTTTGTCTACCTGGGCTTAGAGTTTGGGATTTAGGGTTTAGGATTGAGAGATTAGGATTTAGGATTGAAGGCTTGGGGTTTAGGATTTAGGGTTCAGGATTGAGAGATTAGGATTTAGGATTAAGGGCTTGGGGTTTAGGATTTAGGCTTAGGATTTAAGGTTGCTGTTGAGGGCTTACGTTAAGTTTGGTTTTAGGGTTCTCAAGGTTTAGCGATTGTTCTGCAAGCATATACGGGTTATGTAGGAAGTATATATGATACGTATACATATATATATATATGTATGTAGTCTTCTTCTTGTGCAGTGGCCCAGGGTGTAATATGGGACTACCTGGTCATGTAGGGGGTATAGAAGAACTTTATACAGCTTTATAGAGGTAATGGGATTAGAGGTGGCTTGTAGGGGTCCGTCCTCAGAGCCTCTTGGGGGTTGCTGCGAAGGAGCTTACATAAAGTTAGCATGATAGGAATATGGGAATAATTAGGGTTGAGTGTTTAGGGTTTAGGGAATAGGGTTTCTCAATTAGGGTAACGCACAATGTAGGTGCCTTAAAGGCAACCCAGCTACCCTGTAGATCCCGGCCAAAGATAGGACCATAGCGACCTGTATCGGGATGAGGATCACGCGGCTAGAGAAAGGAAGAGGAGAAGCTCCTGTAGCACATGCTGAAACCTGGGTTGCTGTTAAGGGAACTTCGACTCATTTACCAGAATGGCATGTATACTAAAGAATAGGGTTTCCCAATATAGTAACTTAAACTATAGTCCCCCTGAAGTAGATAGAATATACGGTATATGAGGATCCTATTATAATATACCCAAAGCCATATTCTATCTACTTAAGGGGGACTACAAGTCCCTTAACGGCAACCCAGGAAACAGAGCTTGTGATTACCACGCCATGAGCCACCCGGTCTGTTCCTTCCAGCCAGACTGTCTGCCCTCGAAGCACAGACTTCCTGGGTTGCTGTTAAGGAACTTAAGTAAAGTTACTATAGTATACTAAGGACACACCATTATTTATTACATTCCCATATTATGACAACTTAAGTAAAGTTACTATGTTAAGGAAACTCTATTACTTAACATATTCCGTTACGTAAAGTTACTATATTAAGGAAACTCTATTACTTAACATATTCCCTTACGTAAGTTACTATAGGCTTAATTAACATATTCCCGTAAGTAAAGTTACTATAGTAAGGAAACCCTGACTTCCTGGGTTGCTGTTTAGGGTTTAGGGTTTAGTAGAGTCACTATATGTAGAGTTCCCAATTAGGGGTACCCTTGTGGGGGTCCTGTAACAAGGACTATAGTATTTTGTGGTCCATATTGGGGTCCCCTTTTTTTGGGAAACTGCCATCTTAAGGAAACCCTGCGTGTTTTTTACTATTCCCATATCATCGTAATTTAATTTACCATATTAAGGAAACCCTATTATTTACTATATTCCCTTAAGTTAAGTTACTATCTTCAGGAAACCCTATTGTTCCCCTGTCATGGTCATTTAATTCAAGTTCCTTAATTGCAGACCAGCTTCGCTACAATGTCAGGAAGCAGCCCAACCGTCATCTGAATCAGCATGTCCACCCCGTAGGAGGGCTTAAAGGAGACGTATCCTCCATCGCAATTGTCGCAGCGATAGTCCTTTTTCTTGGGTCTTAAAGAGACATCTTCGGCGGAAAAGCAAGATTCACAGAGAAGCTTCATGGGCCCCCTCGGATCAGCCACAACCAGGATGACACCTCTTGCTGCAAGGCAATGCTCTCTGACCTCTTTCTCCACGTGCTCGACAATTTGCGCGTCATAATCACACTTGTTGAGTACCATGATGACGGGGATTGCATCATCGCTGCACAATTGATGTACCTTGCGAACGCTGTCTGGATTGAAGCGCCCCCCTGCCGACACATCAATAACCCACCACACCACATGGAGCTGCTCCTTCCTGGGCTGCTTTGAGGGAACTTAAGCTAAGCTATTATAGCAAGGAACTCAAGGAAGCACAACTTGTACAAATACCCTGGCAATGAGTAAAAAGTGTGGCTTGTGCAAAAATTCCCGAACCGCCTCCGAGCTTCACCCTTTCGGGGTCGTCTGGATCGTACAACTCAGCTGCGCGCTTTCTCTCTGCAATGAGCTCGCTCAACTGCTCGAGGGCTGATTGGTCATTATCCAGAGTCTCAAAGCCTTTGGTGTCGTAAAGGTTTACCGGACAAGATTCTGTGGCTTGGTACAACTGGATCTTCTCCGTAACCGCCCGACCAGCTCCTGCTGAGGCAACTTCCTGACCAAATGCGGCATTGATTAAGCTGGATTTGCCAGCCCCGCGGTCTCCCAGAACCAAGATGCGAGCTCCATGTTCAACCAGCCGAGATGTGGTGTCCTGAACAATGGTCTCGACTGCGTTTCGGGCGGACTGCCAGTGATCGTCGAACAGGAAAGATGAAGCCTCTTCAACAGACAAACTAAGTTGCACACCGTTCGCTCGAAGTTGGTAACGTGCCTCCGCTGGAATGCTTGTCTTCGACATGCCTTCCACAGCCTCCCGCCCGCGCTGAGTCCGATATAGGCTTCCAATGTCAGCTGCGGCTGTTCCTTGGGATTCTGCCGCCATCAGTCTCTTGAACAAGAATGGCAGAATCAGTGACAGCGACGTCTCGGGCTCATCGTCCAGGACATGCAGGTGATCCCTAGACTTGAGTCTCTCGAGGACATGGTGCAACTTGCGATGGACTGCATCCGCATCGAGGCTCACGGTAGCGCTAGCACCTAAATCGAAGGTGCTCAGCGCACTACTTGTGAAGTCGTTCACCAATTCAGCAACGCATTCGCGCAACCTTACCGGTGGTCTGTAGGGCAAAAAGGAAAAGATCTCTTCAGCCATCCCTAATACAACTCCCTGCAATACAGCAGTTTCCATGCTTGCCAATCCTAGCAGCCGAATCAGATCCTCATCTTTGGCGGTCGCCGACGCTGGGGCTGAGGTGCTGTCCATGACAGAAACAACTAGGTCAGCAGTTAGGCAACCCAGGCTTTTTGAAGGATCCAACAAATGGAATCCCCCAAGAATGAAGGTATTGCTCCGTTGGGGAAACCCTAAGGCCTAAACCCTGAATCCTAAGCCCTAAACGTAACTAGGGGATTATTGGAGGTTCCATTCTGGGTCTGGGAAGCCTGGAGGTCTTGGTGGTATTCTTGAGGGGTTATATGGGGGTTTCCCAAAATTAGGGGTACCATTTTAGGGGTCACCATACTAAGGATTATAATATATTGGGGTCTATATTGGGGTCCCCTTGTTTTTGGAAACTACCATATTCCTTACACTTGCTCATAGGAAAAATCTTCTAGGCCCTAATGCAACATGTTTCCCGGCAGCACCTAAAAACTAAGGAGCTTGCTCCTGCAGTGGTGTAATTTGAGCCCTAAACCCTATGCCCTAAACCATAAGCCCCAAAGCCCAACCACATCCCCACCAAAGCCTGGGCCCCAAACATCTGCCATGCAAACAAGCTTGTCTCTGCATCAGTTTAGGGTTCAGGGTCTAGGATTAGGGGCTCAGAGCTTAGGGTTCAGGTTAGGGGTTTAGCCTAGGCCCCAAGCCTAAGCGCCCAAACCATATTAAGAGCTTAGGGCATCAGAGCGCGACTTGAGGTTGCCCCTGAGACTTGCTGGTGTTGAGTAGGGAGAAAGGAAAAGGGGACATGGAACGCAATCAGGTTGAATTAGGGGCTACCATGCCCTAGAGATCCCTAAATCCCAGGCCCTAAACTCTGGATTTCAAGGGTGTGTGGGTCCACCTTCCCCATGAATTCTGGAACCCCTTGGCTGTAAGAACACCCGAAATTTACAAAGGCTCTATGACTATGCGATCTTTGCAAAGCCCGGAGCCCTGCATAGGGTCACCAGAAACATAAAATCAAATGGAGAAGATCAACCCTAAACCCTAAATCCAGATAGAATATGGCTTTGGGTATATTTTAATAAGATCTCCATATACCCCCTATCCTATCTACTTAAGGGGGGCTATAATCCTTCGCGGCGGATTCGCGAAGAAATGCGCAAGGTAGACTGTGAAGTGATCTAAGCTGACGACCTCCATCTTCATCCCAAAGCGCAACCCCTCAACTGGGTTGCTGTTAA